CTATTCCACCATCGACACTCGATTCTCGTATATCGTTTAGAGCCGCGAAGAGACGAGTGGCAACCGCGTAGCCATATACGATATGCGAAAATCGAATGTCACGGTGGAATTTGAACGAACACGGCGATTCCCCTCAAGGGGGGGCCGGCTCTTCCGCACTAAGACTACGAAATAGGACTCGCGAAATCGATTCTGCGAAATATGCCGTCGCGGGGATGACGAACAGGGGTGAAATCGCGCCGCGATAGCGTCGCCGACGTCGTTTCCAGGACGGATCCAGGAGATCGTTACTCGCGCGGGGGACAGCAATATTCCAGCTTATATTTTCTGTCTTCTTCCCTTTCTCTCTCGTTTTCTTTATTTCCTCGACGAGCATCGCGGTATTAAGGCCGCAACGATGTGTTTCTCAGCCGGGAAGACCGGGATAAATCGATTGCCGGGCTGGCCGGTGCCGGGCGCGCTTATTTACGCGCCGCTTTTTATTGCGCGTCCGTAAATGGAACTCCTCGATAAAAATGCAAACGCCGGCAATTATAAGTTGTCCGATATCGGCGGCGAGCCGGCAAAGAGGCCGGGTCGCGCGCAAATCCCGAGGGCCTCCTCGAAAGAGGATCGTCGCGTTGTCTCGTAAATTCGTACCCCAAACTGCGGTAGGTATATATACATTCGGGACCCGCTCGCGCCCGCGGTTCCTTTTTTTTCGCCGCTGCAGAAATGCAACTGCGAAAAACGCATCGCTTCGATAGTCGGTATATCATCGCGCTGCGGATAACGCGAACGCGCGACGATAATTTCACCTTCATGTGCATCGCGAGGGTAACGAGCCGCCGCCGATCCGTTCTCGGATCTCGAGTTTTCGCAGTGACGCAAACACGGTTCTTTTTATAGTATACTTTGCGCATGAATAATTAATAAGACTGCAGCAAGATTTCGTGAGGGCGTCTTTAAGGTAACACGCGGCAGGAACCTGCGCGCGTGTTATTTCGCGAATTTGCATCTGCCTCCAGCGAAAACATCTCGCCGGTCGTTATTTCTTCCCGTCACTCCCGCAAGTGTTGAAATCGAACGTCTTGACGATTATTATCCGAATAGGAATTTCATTCTGTCGATTTTACTCTCTCGGAAGTGAGTCGATATGTTTCTGATTGAATCAGTGAAAGTATTTCACCGGCAAGCAGCGAGCATTCGTGACATCTCGTGGAAACAATCTCACTTTACTGCTCTATCTTGTATCTCCGAGAAGAAATAATTACATCCTGTTATGTAATTCCTGTATGTGAATTCTATCTCTATGTAGTCATAAGTAATCATATGTAATTATATATGTCTACATATAAATACTGAAGAAAGAAACAAACAGAAATGTTGTAATACAACAACAATTCTGTATATAATAATTCTGTTAAATACAATTAATTACTATATAATGTACAAATGTTGTACAAATACAATAATTAAAATAACTACTTGTGAATGTATCAGCTCGTGTACGAAGCAACGCTCAAGGGGACTGGAGGGTTAGATTGATAGAAAATCGTGCTTTTTTCACAATTTTTTATGACAAACTGAATGAATATGCGAAAGTGTTATTTTGACATGTATTTATACAATATATAAGAAAAAGAAAAATATAATTTTTATGAACAAATATTCAATATAAGTGTATGGTACATGAAGTTAAGATATATTTCGTTTTTCTTTTCAAGATCGTCATTTTGCAGTAATATCTTGACTCTCGGTGATTCAATTAAGCTGAATTTTAGAAAATTTCCGTAAACTTGTCGTTATCGGATGAACTACTATAATAGAAATTAAGTAAAAGTTAATAAAATTGCAAATATCTTAATGAAATATTATTAAAATTTTCAGTTCTTTTATAGAGTAAAAAAATTAATATTTCAAAATTAAAGAATTTCATGTTTGTCAGTTTGTCAGTGGTTCACCCAATAATGACAAGCTTACGGAAATTTTCTACCTAAAATTCAGCTTAATTGAACCACCGAGAGTCAAGATATTACTGCAAAATGACAACCTTGAAAAAAAACCTAAGTATATTTTAACTGCATGTACGATACACTTATATTGAATATTTGTTCATTAAAATTATATTTTTCTTCTCTTTATACGTTGTATAAATACACGTCAAAATGACACTTTTGCGTATTCATTCAGTTCGTCATAAAAAATTGTAAAAAAACAAGCACGATTTTCGGGCAATCTGATCCTTCAGTCCCATTAAGGAAATGCTGAAGTTTTACTGACAGAATATTGATATTTTTTTGCAAAATTTACGTCGTATTGGTTGCAAGAGTTACAAGTGCTTTTACGCAATGAAAGTACGTGCAAAAATAAATAGGAGCATTAATCATTCATCAAAAATTCATCAATATGTGATAGAAACAAAAAAATTTAATGTAAAATTTGAAGCTATCAGCATAATTTGTCTAATCCAAAAGTTCCGCGGCTCACCGAAAATTTTCACTCGACGAGTGTAGAGAGTTCAGAGAGTAAAGAATCCATTCTATATGAATAAAGAATCACTCGAGTTCGAATAACTCGATTTTTCGATTGGAATTTTACTGTAAAAAATTTAAAATACTGATTATACTTGAAAGAGCATTAAAATTCGTTTCCACGTCCGTTTATTTGCGTTCTTCAGGCTGATTTCGCGAATCAATACTTTCATTATCGAAATCATTAATTATAATTTCGAAATGGACGATTCGTCATGGGAACGCGTGTGCGGCGGTTTGAATCTGTCAAAATGTTAAAACTGCGTCTGTGATAAGTTTCACGCTTGTTCCTTTCAATAGAAGACGCGATAGAAGAGCCGAGTAGGTGACTCGCTGCTTGACTTCTTTCCTTCCTATTGACTTCCTTCATTCGTGAGGCAAAACTTAACCTTGATGCGAACAGCGGGGCCACAGAAAGCGAGAGCGAGGGAATAAAGAAAACAAGCGACTTTCGCCCCCTCGATACTTGGCGTGACACATCAGTATTCCGTAGCCGTGCCGGCCGTTCGTCTCGCGAGACAAGAATTCAAACCATTCCGATCGAATTTTCCGCCGGTTCACGGAGCGAGAATTTACGATGACTCGCCCTTCTGCGAAAACCCTGCACGAGAGAACCTTTCCGTCCTCCCGCCTGTCGCTTAATTGCCATCGAAACAATAAGGAGTCGCGAAAACTTTCCTGGCCGATGTTCAATTTGGCACGTCGGGGACGATCGCGGTTTCGTCGAATTGTGGGGAAACTTCGCGCATCAAATTTAATTGTATAGTAAATCTAGGACGCTGTCGACACGCGTCGATATGTTAGATTACGAAGCGGTTGACGTAATTGAGAATCGTGTAATTGTTGAAGAACCATTCTCAAACCGAGGATAGCTTAAAAAACGTTATATCCATAGTACAAGAAATATAAATTGCATAGAATTATTGCAACTATTAAGTTGCACTTTATTTAAAAAAGTTATTGTTCCTGCCTGCGTCTCGCGATGAAATAATATACAGACTGATTCAGGACGCATGTAACAAACCTTGATAAATTGTTTAGGAATTTCATTTTGAATAGAAAATTTCAGATGAACATAAATTCTGTTCTCAATACTTACATACTCGAGTAAATGTAACTAGCCGGTCTAAGTGAAAAAAACTAGTAGTTAGCTAGTACAGGCTAGATAAAATGTTTTAGCTCGTTACTAATTAATCACTGATTGATAATTCACTAAAATACAGAATCGGGTTTGTGGTCTAGCCATTGTTCAGCTATTACATATTAAATAAAGAGTACGTATTAAATATAGAGTAGATATGTGACGCTGTCTATTCTAAAATACATAATCGAGTTTGTGGGCTAGCCGTTGTCTAGACATTATATAGAGTAGATTTGTGGCATTGTCTATTCTAAAATACACAATCTAGCTACTATATCACCACCAGCATTTAAAAAGAAAATTAAGTAGCAAATTGCGGTTACGTTAATTTCATAAAAATCTCAACAACACAGAACTGAGTGCAACATTATTGGCTAGCAACCATTTATGGTTTTTTATCTTACAAATGTAATTTCCTTTGTTTAATCATCAGCTTATTCCCTTATCAGCTTATTTCCTTTGTTTAATCATCAATTTATTTATCTAACCACTAAAAGAAGTAAGCGTTACATTACTGGCTAGTAGTGATGTTATGTAACAAATTTATTATCTCGTGGCTAGAGATTCAATTTCTATTAGAATAGTTACAGAAGTTTTTGAATTTTGCTGCTACCATAGCATGCTTGGTAGGAAATGATCTTTAGAGATTAAAACAATACAGAAGAACGCGCAAACAGCAATTATTTACTATTCAGTTTTATGATAAATATTCAAAATGTACTCCCCTCATGAGCTTGAATGTTGCATGAATTAAAAAATCGTATAAATGATACAGTAAATTATTTATACGAATCTTACTTGTATTTCGTAATGTCATAAACAATTTCATGAATAAATGATGCTTGCATATTCTTTTAGTTTATTTTTACTTTTCCAAAGTCATCATTATTTATATGAATTTTATTTGTATTTCGTAATATCGCAAACAATTTCATGGATAAATGATGCTTGCATATTCTTCTATTTTATTTTCGTTTTTCACCTTCCACAAGTGTGCGACTTGATAACCATGATAACAGCAAAATTTTAAAACTTTTAATTACGTAAATATTAGTAAGTTAATAGGACATATATATGTGATTGACTTTCTAAACAACTTGTCAAAATTTGTTACTTTCGTCCTGACTTATTCTGTATGATATGTTATATAATATGTTAATAAGACGACTTTATTTATTAACTTTTTGTATGATTCGCTATTTTCCGTTAACGTGGTGCGATTCGTTGGTTTCTGATATTCCTTTCCTCACGTTTGAAACTTGTCTTTTTCACAAAACACGAAAGAGAGCATGAATTATCGACTGTTTTGGCTGTCTCTAAAATGATCCACGAATCACACGGGGAGGATCAAATTAATGGCTAAATCACGTAATGGAGCGCTCGAGCGTGTCTCATTGTCTGTAGGTCACGTGATCTCGGGAACGGTAATGTCGCGTGTACACAAGTGCCGAGCGATCATAACAGTCCTTGAGGCGACAGTAAAGGGATCGGGAGACGTGGCGCGCGTGATTTCCGATTTTCCGAGTCGATTTTTTGAAGCGTACGCGAGACGCGTTATGTTATTTCGCACGTGCAATCGTCGTGCTACGGTCGTCTGGAGCGGTGGCAGCATCCTTGGATCGTGAAGGTAACTACACTGAGAGAAAAATGGTTGGTATTTGTAACTATAATCATACAGAGAAATAATTACTATAAATTATGGTCAACCCGAGTCGAAATTTTGATGCTACTTTGACGCTCTTAAGGATAGTTTGCGCTCACTTAGGCGGTTTATAGCCCAGGTAAAACCTACTTTGACGATATTGATACACATTAACTTCTCTTTTGAACCTTTAACTCTACCTTGTTAAAATTTTAACGTTACTTTGATGCTCTTAAAAATAGTTTGAGCCTACTTAGATAATTTACAACCTAGGTGAAACCTATTTTGACGATATTGACACTCATTTTCGAGTCGAAATTTTGACTCTATGTTGAACCTTGAATTGTACACCGCAGTAGCAGCTAAAATAGCAAAATAAATTTAATTCTAGTGATATAATTTACTCCTACTTTGACCCTGATGATGTCTGAAATATATGCAACAAATAAAATGTATATTTTGTATGCTATTTGACGTTTCTGTTTCGTTATTTATTAAATTTTTTAAATATTCCTATAAAATATATATATTCTATGTAGGAGCTAAAATTTCAATAGAGGCTCGCAACTGAACCTACTTTGCTTCCTAAGATCTTACTATTATACAACCTACTTTGACGCTAAAGAAAGTGAAAGCGAAAATTTCAGACATCATCAGGATCAAAATATGAGTAAATAATATCATTAGGATTAAACCTACTTTGCTATCTTAGCTCCTACTGCGATGTAGAATACAAGGTTCAACATAAGGTCAAAATTTCGACTCGGGAAGACAACCATTTTTTAGTCAATTGTATTATAATTTTAGTAATAATAATCTTATATGCATGTTACTACTATTATTTTCGTGTTGGGACAACCAAAAAATATAGTTGCGGCCAAATTGGGTCCAATTGTAAAAATTGTAAAGATATAATTTATAATAATTATTTCTCTATATGATTATAGTTACAAATACCAAACATTTTTCTCTCAGTGTGCTACTCTTTACATCTTCAGTGGTTTAAAAGATGAATAAATTGTCCCGTGCCTTTATACCGCTAATATTGTTGACATCTGTCTATAACTAATCGAAAAACTTGCTTTCTTTGCTTCAGGTCTGATGGACTTTGTGGCCACACACGATGAGTGTGATTCCCGGAGGTGCGGTTTCGGAGGATACGGATGCTGCACCGGAGGATCCGGTTCAGGCATCCGAGCAGGATCGGCTCGAAGATAGGTTTAAAAAGAACGACGGGTAGGATGGGCCGATTTTAGCCTAAAAAGTGTAACGTAAGTTGTACACGTAATCTTATGTTTTTTGGATCACGGAGTACGATGATAGCATTTTTATCCACCTTCAAAGCCGTGGGAAAGTGGTCAAAACTCACTTTAAAAGTGACAAAAGAAGTCACTTTTAATAGTTAATTCGATTAGTGACGGTTTTGTTCCAATTATTTAAGTACTTGTATTAGAGTTTCCATTATTTAATTACTTGTATTATAATTTCAATTATTTGTACTCAGTTTTATAACTTTTTCACTAGAAATTAAAGAAACATTTAAAAAATACTAAGTTTCCTTACAAGTAAACCTACCCAAAAGGTATACTTCGATTTCTTTCTAATTTGGCACAAATGTAGAAGTGCAAAAAATATTTAGATCATATTTTTTATTTTGAGTTTCACGAGCAGTTTATAGTTTTTTTAATGTTCTCACTCTTATTATCAACAAATACAATAAAAATGCATCGTATTCAGCGACCCAAAAAATATAAGATTACGTTATAATTTACATTAAGCTAAAGTCAGCTCATTTTACTTATCGCCTTTTTCCGTATTCTTGTATTTTATTTTTTGCGATCGAAAACTAGATCATAGTTATTCAAGTAAAAAGTTACGGCGGTTGCAAAATGTTAATACACACACACGCACGCGCCACGCGTACACACACACACACACACACAAAACATACACGTGCTAATGTCTACGCATATTTTCTTTGTTAAATCGTTAAGTCTCGTATCTAATGTTGACATATCTTTTGTTCCAGAATTTTAGCAGAACGCGGCCGATCCTGAGTTCCCGATAATCGGTGAGTCAGAAACAGGGTGATGAGTTTATTGTGATTATTGTGTACAAGAAATCAATGCGATTTACTTAGCTTAGAGTTTCTTTCTGCATGTACACTGAGAGGAGAAAAAATTTTCACACATAAAAACTCTTACCACTAATTATAGTCACGTCTGATAGATTTTTTGTCGCTCTAACAAAAAAGAAGTAGTAGTTAAGTATTTATTACGAAAACTATTTAAAAGTTAAATATTTACTACAAAAATTATTTTAATATGCTATTGCGACCAAACTAGTACTAAACACTTCTCTCAGTGTTGGGTTTTATATGTATGTGTATTTGTTTCACAAATAAACTACTTGAGACAATAAGGGGATTGTTTCTTTAAACAGTCATCTTATTTATCAGAAATACCTAAACTATTAAAACTATTGAAACATATTTCTTTCTTAAAGATTCCTGATATTTTTTTTCAATTCATTTAATGTAATCCCCCAATTGTTTCACGTAGTGCAAAATGCACATAATAATTGTGCACCACAATTCGAGATTAAAATTGCTCCATCACAGGCGGAATTCGCGGTTACTTACTTTATTCGCGATAAATTCTCTGCTTTATAAAACAGATGATCTGATTATTCACAGTTCAACTTTATGCTTAAGATCCTGAAATTTTGAAGCTACATGTCTAATAAAGTAGCTCTTGGAGCATTTGAAAATTGACTAAAAATTAACTAAAAAGCAAAATCAACTAAATTGTTAAGACAAAAATACTAGATATCAGTTTTGCAACTGTCACGATCGCCAATTTTCTCTATTTTTCGCACGTGCCGGATTATAATGCCATTCTGATCGAAATCCACTGCGAAATTCAATACGTATATTTATTATTTTCTTTCAAAAGTGAAAATTCTTGCGCAAGAAGAAGAAACAAGATATCTTCATTCTCTCTCTCTCTCTCTCTCTCTTTGTCTTGTTAAAATAATCTTTAGTTCGCGATTCTTTCCACGAGATTCGTAACTCGAGAGTATATCTCCGAAGAATTTTACACGTGCATTTCATAGAATCGTTAAAGCATTAAAGCGCCGTTAAGATAATCGTGGTCGCAAGTGCAGTGAACGGAACTGAAGTGAAGCGAAGTAAGCGAAGTGCGACCGACCGACGTGGGATGATTACTGGACGCGGAGGAGGTTGGACAGATGCGGAGCGACATCGTTCGAGGTGTAGCGATAGATCTCATCGGACTGAACGTCGTTGGATATCAAGGCACAATGGTGAGTGTACAATTTTCACGCTCACGAACCGTCATATTACGTAGTGCATGTATAATGTAGCGCAGATAACGTGTAAATCGCATTGACTACCGGTGAGGAGAGTCATCGTACAGTATAGTTCTCGAAATTATATAGCTTTAGCTGCAATAAGTAGTACGAAATAATTTATTGAACTATTATTGGATTATGTAATGAATAATTTCAAAATTTTCAGGCAAAATGAAACGATTATACTTTTATTTCATGAAACAATGTAATGAAACAATCTATCCTTTTGATTTATGATCTGCCATCTTTCGCATACACTGGCTGCGTTCAGCAAAGAAAGCTGCTTTGCAGCTGTTGTAAAATTCGTGAATTTGATTGATATATGCTCTTAGATTCAGTCAAGATCAAAAACATACACTAACCAGATCCATGAATTTTATGACAGTTGCAAGCAGCTTTCTCTGCTGAACGCACATACATAGCTATTGTTTCATATAATTATTAAATAAATGAGTAATTTCGAGTATTTTGAGTAAAATAATATGATAATGTTTTTATATCGTCATAATTTTATAAAACAATGGCTGCGTTCAGCAGAGAAAGCTGCTTCCAATTCATAAAATTCATGGATTTGGTTGGTATGTTTTTGATCTTGGCTGAATCTAACAGCATATATTAATCAAATTTACGCACATAACCTAATATTAATTCTACATACGGGTCTCATACAGTTGATACCTATATATAGCATATAAAGACAAAATTCACATATGAGTTATATATAATTTATATGTAATTATATGTAATTTTATATAAACAATATATACATATTGTAAATTTTATAATATGTATAAAATATTTTATAATATGTATTATATGTATTTTATAATATGTATTATATGTATAATTTATTATGTATAATATGTCAAATTTTTATATGTAAATTTTATATACATATTTTTTTCTCTCTTTTTGCTTGAATGTTTTCAAAAACAATAGAGTACATTTAGTTGCAAAACGGTCTAGACATAATGAAGTTGGAACTCCACCAAAGTGTCAAAATTGAGGATCAATACCGACTGGTTTACACAGTAATTGTATCATTAATTAGTGTTATTATTATTTATTATTATTAATTATACTTCTACTAAGTAAGCCTGTCGATACTGGCCCATAATTTTGACAGTTTGGTGTCATTCAAATTCGCCTATATAGTAGTCGTCACCATGTCAACTTCTCTGAGTGCAGGGATTTGCTTCCACTTGGAAAGCATTAAAATCGCGTTCAGTCGACGCGTCATTACGCCGTTAAAGCGCGACCGGTCGATTACCGTCGTCGCGGACGTTTAAGCGTCGATGATAAATCCGTTCGCGTCCATTTACGCGTTTGCTTATCTATCCATCAACGCTAACGCCTTTTTCTCGGTCCTCTCGTCGAGTCTCCGCGACCCTCTGCTATATTACTTTTAATTGAATTCCCGCGATGAAATTTCATCCCCGACTCACTCACTTACTCATTCTCTCTCTCTCTCTCTCTCTCTCTCTCTCTCTCTCTCTCTCTCTCTCTCTCGCTCTCGCTGTATTAAGTCGAGAGACCATTTCATTGCCATCCTACCTCCCGGCTCAACCCCGCCCGCGTCTCTCTCTTTCCGCGTCTGTGCCAGTCAGCGAAGGAGCCAACTTCTCAGACAATCGCGCCTACGTGCGCGCTCGGAGCGAAAGTCTCTCTGAATGAGGCGCCGAAAGTATAGCTGCCGAAACGGATCGCGCACGCACAGCAACGTCCATTCCCCTCGGAAGCGCGTCTACGTCGCGCGAGGTGCGGCCATGCAGGTGGAAGAATACATCTCGGCGATTGTTCGCGTCTCAACGCCGCGACGCGCCGCGGTGCATACTCGAGAAGTATTGTCGAAGCTTGCACGCAGATTCATTCACCTCCGCCCCGCGCGCCCCGCAAATATGACGCATACGACGTGTGATGCACGGCTCGCGAGATTATATTGAATCACACTCGAACGATTTATCCCCGGTGGCCTCTGCGCGTGTAACTTGATTGTTTTTAATCTGCCCCAACTCTCCTCGTTGAAGCGTGGAGAGCTTTTACTTCAATCCGATTTGAGACTTGGATTACGTCGCGAACCATCATTGATATTAAAGTTTCAGACTCTAATCTGAATTTGTTGCAGCGAAATTTCACTCACAGAGCAAAGTGACCATCGAGTCACGTCAATTCGCGTGAGATCTAAGTGGGTTATATATAATTTATATATAATTATACACACGTATAATTAAAGAAGTTTCCCGAGTCGAAATTTTGATCCTATGTTGAACCTTGAATTCTACCGCAGTAGGAGCTAAGATAGCGAAGTAGGTTTAATTCTAATGATATAATTTACTCCTACTTTGACCCTAATGTCTGAAATTTCCGCTTTCGCTTTCTTTAGAGTCAAAGTAGGTTGTGTAATAGTAGGATCTTAGGAAGCAAAGTAAGTTCAGTTGCGAATCTCTATTGAAGCTTTAACTTCTACTTAGAATATATGTATTTTATAAAAATATCGAAAAAATTTAATAAATAACGAAACAGAAACATCAAATAACATACAAAATATACATTCTATTTGTTGCATATATTTCAGACATCATCATGGTCAAAGTAAGAGTAAATTATATCACTAGAATTAAATCTATTTTGCTATCTTAGCTCCTACTGCGGTGTACAATTCAAGGTTCAACATAGGGTCCAAATTTCGACTCGAAAATGAGTGTCAATATCGTCAAAATAGGTTTTAGACCTAAGTTGTAGATTACCTAAGTAGACTCAAACTATTTTTAAGAGCGTCAAAATTTTGACAAGGTAGAGTTAAAGGTTCAAAAGAAAAATTAATGAGTATCAATATCGTCAAAATAGGTTTCATCTAAGTTGTAGATTATCTAAGTAGGCGCAAATTATCCTTAAGAGCGTCAAAATAGCATCAAAATTTCGAGTCGGGGTTGGCAAAATGATAGAGGAATTTTCAGTTCAGTTTGACCCAATCTACACACAAAAAAATGATTTAGTAATATCAGCTGAACCGTAATAGCTGATTCAAACTTAGTCAAAAGGCTAATCGTTTAGCTGTCACTGTTAAGAATTGGCTATGACAGCTAAGATGCATTCGCTATGAAATACAAATATATTAGGTGACATTAAAAATGCACATTATTTCAAGTAGCTAAGAAAACGGCAGTTATTCCTAAATTTCTTATCATATGCATATATTAAAGAAGTTTGCCGTACAGCTACAATCATTTGTTACACTCATTTATTTCTAGCAGCTAATATTTCTCGCTGTAGCGCCTAAGTTTAACAGCGAATAAATTTAGTTTCGGTAGTATCGACATTAACTATTCCTATTTCAATAACACATTTTATCTGCCACAACATTTTTTAGCTCTGGAAGCTAGTTCTTTTTTTGCGTGTAGAGTGCGAAGTCTTACTACCTAAATTTCTCGGAGTGGAATCTCGCTCAAAACGAGCGAAAGATGGTAGTATTTCCGCTCGAAATTGCAAGAGTGAATGTTTCACTGGAGCTTAAAGTGGAGTTTGATTCCATACGAGAATGTTTCAGTTATGATTAAAGTGAATATGTTCCTGTGATGGTGGAGCACACCAGATTCGCTTTTCAATTTCGAGAGGAAATATTCACTCGACAATTTAGAGTGGAGAAACTCCATATCAGTGGAGCGCTATATCAGTAAAAAATCGCTTAAATTCGAATGATTCGGTGATCATTCTGCTCT